ACAACTGGTGTTGTCTCGGTTGACTACGTAAAGGACAATATAGCGGATCGCTACCAAAGGGTTATGTAAAGAAGCTGTGGAGAAGTTGAGACGAGGAATGGGTCTAAAGCCCTTGGTATAAAGTTCTATAGTGGATACCCAACCTAGTTGGCACCTAGGTTCAATGGGACAACTAAATTATGGAACGGAGTGTGTCACTGTGAGGGTTTCGAACTCCCTACCACTCCTCGTTAAAACAGTGGCTCCCGCACAAGGTTAGCATATTGATGCTTTAATTATTCGAATGTCGGTTGACATATGTGAGTATGCGGGATACTCGGAAAAAAATCACCTATGTGAAAGAGAAGTGAGGGTTGCTTCAAAGGAGAATTGATGGGCACAATTCTTCACAAACTCTTGCAGAACCAGGAATGGTGACCACGACCAAAACGGGCACACTCATGAGAGCAGAGCATTGTTGGGAGGTTCTTGTGTGAGATATGTCATCGTCTACACAAACGGGAGTCGGTTCAAAGACATCGCGTTCTACCATACAACCAGTAGAGTAAATGTATCTTCACAAGGGAAGGTTCAAAGTGTATAGTGATCCCTACCTATCCTATGCAGGGACCGACCGTTGAACACAGTTATTTCCGATTTCAAAATACCCTGAAAATCAATTTTTTCATTCATGTGTTGGATTGTTGGAAAAATAGCATAAATTAGCATAAAGTGACATTTTAAGTAGCTATCTTGTGGTACAAATATCAGTAGGGTCCACTTCCGATTTGGGTCGGGTCAAAGTGGATTCGGGTTCTTCGTAGTGAGATGAAGAGATTGATATATTGTACGCTCAAAACGGATAATGGGGGAATGAGATATTGATTCTCAAAGTAGACCCATTTGAGGAAAAATAATGGGAAAAAGTGAAGCTTTTGTCCCACATTGGTTTGGGAAGAGGATTTGCCCCACTATTTATACAAGAGCTCTTTTATAACTTATTAAGTTGTATAGCATAGAGGTTCTCTCTCGCGCGTAAGGGGGGGTGTGCAAATCAAATCCCAAAATGAGATCGAAAAGGTTTGGCTCAAGCCTAATGTCGTCCGGAAATAAATTCAGCCGAAGGTTTTTGAACATGGATTTAAATGCCTAAGTGAATGTTATTTACACTATCCAACATGGATTTAAATGCCTAAGTGAATGCTATTTACACTATCCTCTACTAACAACGAGAAACACAGTGACCACACAGAATTAGACACTTGTTTTACAACTCCAAAATCTCTGCTTCTACTCCTCTCTTAGCCTACTGTGTTCTAAGCTTTGCTCTAGTTCGTCGGGTAATTTGTTTGGGTGCTCAAACACTGAATCGTAGCACGTTTTATCCTAGAAAACCTAGGCTACTATACGATCCTAGCACTTGTGGGAGGTAGCAAATAAGATTTTAAGGAAACGAACAATTTGTTCAACTCGTGCTAACCTTTAACCGAATCATCCACCATTTCCTTCACAATTATTTGTTGGAACCGTTGGTAGGAAAAACAAATAATAATCAAAAAAAGATTATTATTTTTTCTGGAAAATAGGGAAGGAACGATGGAGAATTTTGGCTCGTGTTTGGTGTTGGGTTTTTGCAAGAGTCAAGCGATCACTCTTTCCTTAAAACCGTATTTGCCACCTCCCAAAGATGCTAGGAGCGTTGTGGCCTAGGCTTCCCAGGATAAAAATTTCTATGATTCAATGTTTGAGCATTCAAACAAAGAATCCGGCGAGCAAGACAAGGTTTTGAACACAGTAGGCTTAGAAAGAGAAGGAGTAGAAGCAGAATTTTGAGGCTTGAAAAACTCTAAGTTTCGTTTAGAGTGCTTGTGCTCTTGTGTGTAAAAATCTGCTTCTTGCTACCTTCTCTTATATAGGGATGAAGGAGCTAAATAGCTTTTAATATGGCAATTAACACTGACTTTAAAGCTGACTTCCAACAGCTATAACAGCAGGCCACTATCTGGGAATTGAATTCAGAATTCAAAATTGGAGTTAATAGAAAATTAATTCCGTAATAGATGAATTCAATCCCATAACAGTCAGAACTTTCGGGTTCCAGACCGTTGGAGTACAGGGTTCGGTCTCAACTTTCGACCTCACCCAGCTTCGGCCCAAAGGCTGAAACTTTCGGCCTCCTTAGTGATGTTTCGTCCAGATGGCCGAAACCACATGTTGCTCACAGTTTCAGCCTCTCAAGGCCGAAACATACCAGTGGCGAGTTGGAAAAAGATACCGAAGTTTGGCATAACTTAGCCCGCAAGGCCAGCCAATTTCCGGACGACATTCGTGCCCCCAGGTGCTGGCGCACACGAGCTCGGGCTTGAATCAAGCCTTTTTCAATCTCGTCTAGTTCGAATTTGATTTTCGGGGTGTTTTGAAATCGGAAACAACTGTGTTCAAACAGTCGATCCCTGCATAGGATAGGTAGGGAGTCACTATACCCTTTAAACCTTCCCTTGTGAAGACATGTTTACTCTACTGGCTGTACGGTAGAACGCGATGTCTTTGAACCGACTGCCGTTTGTGTAGACGATGACATATCTCACACAGGAATCTCCCAACCATGTTCTTGCTCTCACGAGTGTGCCCGTTTTGGTCATGGGTCACCGTTCCTGGTTCTGCGAGAGTTTCTAAAGAATTGTGCCCTACAATTCTCCTTTGAAGCGACCCTCACTTCTCTCTAACATAGGTGATTCTTTCTCGAGTATCCCGCATACTCAAGAATCATTAAAGCTTAACATGCTAGCCTCTTGCGGGAGTCACTGTTTTAACGAGGAGTGGTAGGGAGTCCGAGACCCCCACAGTGACGCGCTCCGTTCCATAATTTAGTTGTCCCATTGAACCTAGGTGCCAGCTAGGTTGGGTATCCACTATAGAACCTTTTTAGTCCAAGGCATTAGACTCATTCCTCGTGTCAAATTCTCCACAACTTCTTTGCCTAACCCTTTGGTCAGCGGATCCGCTATATTGTCTTTTGACTTTACGTAGTCAATCGAGACAACACCAGTTGTGAGTAGTTGTCTAATGGTATTATGTCTACGATGCACGTGTCTAGACTTACCATTATACATATGACTTTGTACTCTCCCAATTGTGGCTTGACTATCACAATGCACACATATTGGAGGTACCGGTCTTTCCCAATTAGGAATATCCTCTATAAAATGGCGTAGCCATTCAGCCTCTTCACAACCTTTGTCCAAGGCTATTAGCTCAGATTCCATCGTTGATCTAGCTATCACAGTGTGCTTAGAGGATTTCCATCCAACGGCTGCACCGGCTAGTGTAAACACATAGCCACTCGTGGACTTAGAGTCCTTAATATCAGATATCCAGTTCGCGTCGCTATACCCTTCAAGTACAGCGGGATATCTCCCGTAGTGCAGTCCAAGATCACGAGTATACCTCAAGTATCTCATAACCTTTACTATAGCCTTCCAGTGCATAGCACCAGGGTTACTCGTATATCTACTGAGTTTACTAACCGCATAGGTAATATCCGGCCTAGTACAGCTCATAAGATACATCAGACTACCAATAACCCGAGCATATTCCACTTGTGAAATACCTTCTCCGTGGTTCTTGGTTAGATGAATATTTGTATCAAATGGTGTCCTAGCCACTTGACTGCCATCCTTGTTAAATTTCTCAAGGATTTTGTCAATATAATGTGATTGGCTCAACACGAGACCATCAGGTCTTCTAATGATTCTAATCCCAAGGACTAAATCAGCCAAATCCATATCCTTCATGTCAAATCTCGCACTTAACATGTTTTTGGTAGACTTGATCATCCGATCATTACTACCAACGATGAGAATATCATCGACATATAAACAAAGAATGACGTAGCCGTCTATCGTTTCCTTAATGTACACACATTTGTCACTTTCGTTTATTTTAAACCCGTTAGTTAACATCGCATGGTCAAACTTCTCGTGCCACTGCTTAGGCGCTTGTTTTAAACCATAAAGCGATTTAACCAACTTACACACTTTCCTTTCTTGGCCCGGAACCACGAACCCTTCGGGTTGTTCCATATAGATTTCTTCATCTAATTCGCCATTTAGGAAAGCGGTTTTCACATCCATTTGATGAACTTCCAAGTTCCGCAGTGCGGCTATGGCAAGTATCATCCTAATGGAGTTTATTCTCGTCACGGGAGAATACGTGTCGAAGTAGTCGAGGCCCTCGCGTTGTCTGTAACCCTTGATTACAAGCCTAGCCTTACACTTCTCGATGGAACCATTAGGTTTCATCTTCCTTTTAAAGACCCACTTGGATCCTAAGGGTTTACTACCCAGAGGAAGATCAACAAGTTCCCAAGTGTGATTCTGTAGGATAGAATCCACTTCACTTTTTATAGCCTCTTTCCACATTGGTCCTTCTGTAGAAGTCACAGCTTCTACATACGTTCGAGGCTCGTTCTCTATCAAACAAGATAGAAAATCGGGTTCATTTTCTAATAAACAAGTTAGAGTACCCGAATAATACTCTAACAAGTAAGTTAGAAAATCAGGACCGAATGATTTTTCAACTCTCGCCCGCTTACTGCGTTTCGGCTCGAGCTCGGGTTCTTTCTCAGATTCCCACTATCATTATCCATAGTTTTGTCAAACGTTCATTTTGACGTACTTGGTCCCTCGTTGGACCTACAAGGAAATATATTCTCGAAAAAATATGCATTCCTTGATTCTATTATCGTGTTCTCGTGTACGTCCGGATTATGGGACTCATGTACTAAGAACCGATACGCACTACTATTATGTGCATAGCCAATAAAGATACAGTCCACCGTCTTAGGACCTATCTTTACTTTCTTAGGTGTTGGCACCAACACTTTGGCAAGACACCCCCACACTTTTAGGTACTGGTAGGAAGGTTTCCTACCGTTCCACAGCTCATAAGGAGTCTTATTGAGCTTCTTGCGGGGTACCTTATTCAAAAGGTAGTTGCTTGTCAAAATCGCCTCACCCCACGCATCTTGAGGTAGGCCCGAACTTATAAGCATCGCATTCATCATATCTTTCAATGTACAATTCTTTCGTTCGGCAACACCGTTCGATTGAGGTGAGTAAGGTGCCGTACGTTCGTGTATTATACCTACACTTGCACAGAAGTCACCAATAGGTGCTTCGTATTCACCACCTCTATCGCTTCTAACCTTCTTAATTCTTCGATTAAGTTGGTTTTCCACTTCATTCTTATAAAGAAGGAATTTATCAACGGCTTCATCTTTGCTTTTAAGCAAATACACATAGCAGTATCGTGTCCTATCGTCGATAAATGTGATAAAAGACACAAGATGCTTCCTCAGCTCAGGAACGTACAGCACGTTGTTCAGCACCAGTTCCTTCCCGGAAGTCATCTTCAGAACCACCTTGCCCATGCCTTCCACAGCAGACTGAGCAGAGTTTCCCATCCACACATTTTCACCCTCAACGGTCTCAAAGGTGTTGAACATCTCTCGGTTGCAACACAAGTGCCTGGTTGCACCAGTATCTATGAACCACTCACGAGGGTTTGAGCCCACGAGGTTCACCTCGATCACCATAGCCGAAAGGCTATTCTCGACCTCCTTCTAACTGCTCTCTCCAACAACATTGGCTTCAGAACTCTTGTTCTTCTTCCTTGGAGCCTTGCATTCAGATGCTCCGTGGCCATGCTTGCCACAATTGTAGCATTCACCAGGAAACTTGTTCTTGGTAACGCCACCTTTCGGACCTAGCTTTCGCTTGTCCTTCTTGTTCCTCTTGGAGCTCTTCCCGTGCTCCATAGCATTGGCCTTAGCTCCAACAACGATAGGAACTTTCCTATCATTCGTCCTGTTCCCTTCCTCAATCCTGAATCTCCGGATCAGGTCCTCCAGATTCATCTCCTTTCGCTTATGCTTAAGGTAGTTCTTGAAGTCCTTCCAACCTGGAGGCAACAAGTGGATCACAGATCCAACTTGGAAGGCTTCACTTAGCACCATGCCATCATTACGGATCTCATCGAAGATTAATTGCAAATCTTCTACCTAACTTAGCACAGTTTTTTAATCAACCATTTTGAAGTCGAGGAATCGGCCAACCACAAATTTCTTTGAGCCGGCATCCTCACTTCGGTATTTATGATCCAAAGCTTCCCACAACTCTTTTGATGTGCTTATCTTTCGATATACATCATACAGCGTGTCACACAGTCCTTTAAGGATGTAGTTTCGGCAAAGGAAGTCCGAATCCTTCCAATAGCCAACCGCCATCACGGATTGTGCATCTTGTTCCTTCAACTCGGGAACCTTCTCGGACAAGAACCTTGTCAAGCCGAGAGTTGCTAGGTAGAACAACATCTTCTGTTGCCACCTCTTGAAGTTCGAACCAACAACGGTGAACTTCTCCGGCTTTTCAGCCGAACCACTCGGTACCGAAGGTACCCGAGACATGGGAATATATTCCTCAGTGCTCCCACCATCTTGTGAACCAACGTTCACTGGTGTAGCTTGGGAATTAGCAACATTGTTGCCATTTCCTCCACTGTTATCCGCAACAACGTTATTGTTTCCGTTTCTTCCATTGTTGTCCGCAACAACATTATCCTCCCCATCGATTGGCAGTACGGGATGCTCCATTTTCTTCAAGGAAATTCGGAGAAGACCACCAACGGGAAAACAAAAAATAAGGTTTTAAGATTGTTGGAACCGTTGGTAGGAAAAACAAATAATAATCAAAAAAGATTATTATTTTTTCTGGAAAATAGGGAAGGAACGATGGAGAATTTTGGCTCGTGTTGGGTGTTGGGTTTTTACAAGAGTCAAGCGATCACTCTTTCCTTAAAACCTTATTTGCCACCTCCCAAAGATGCTAGGAGCGTTGTGGCCTAGGCTTCCCAGGATAAAACTTGTTATGATTCAATGTTTAAGCATTCAAACAAAGAATCCGGCGAGCAAGACAAGGTTTTGAACACAGTAGGCTTAGAAAGAGAAGGAGTAGAAGCAGAATTTTGAGGCTTGAAAAACTCTAAGTATTGTGTAGAGTGCTTGTGCTCTTGTGTGTAAAAATCTGCTTCTTGCTACCTTCTCTTATATAGGGATGAAGGAGCTAAAAAGCTTTTAATATGGAAATTAACACTGACTTTAAAGCTGACTTCCAACAGCTATAACAGCAGGCCACTACCTGGGAATTAAATTCAGAATTCAAAATTGGAGTTAATAGAAAATTAATTCCGTAACAGATTAATTCAATCCCATCCCATAACAGTCAGAACTTTCGGGTTCCAGACCGTTGGAGTACAGGGTTCGGTCTCAACTTTCGACCTCACCCAGCTTCGCCGAAACCACAGCTAGCGCACACGAGTTTGGGCTTGAATCGAGCCTTTTTCAATCTCGTCTAGTTGGAATTTGATTTGCAGAATTGCCGTTAGTTCACCGTTAACTTACTCATTGATTTCAATAAAAAAAAAAAAAAAAAAAAAAAAAAAAAAAAAGGTCTTAGGTTCGAACCTCATCCCAATCAAAGTTGGCATAATTAGTACTCTATTTTACTCTTATTAAATTATATAAATAATAATTTAGTAGCTACAACAAAAAATTATAGATATGCATTTATTTAATTTAGAATTATGTGTCCACAATGCCTTTATTCAAAAAAAAATTATTCATTATCAATAAATTAAATAAGAGAAATAATTGTATTAGTTATATTGTCTTTATTTTTCTACAATATAAAAATTCTTTATATTCAAATTTATTAATTGATTATATTCGCTACATTGTCCTTACAATGTCTTAATTCAGTGAAAAAAATTATTCATTATCAATAAATTAATTAAGAGAAATATTTTCATTAGTTATATTGTCTTTATTTTTCTCAAATGTAAAAATTTTTACATTCAAATTCATCAATTGATTATATTCACTACATTGTCTATTATCTTTTTTGTGCACTATTTTTCTAATTAAATATCAAAGTTATAATACAAAATAATGCTATATATTTATTTACCAAGTATTTTATTAATACCATGAAAAAATTAAAAAAATATATAATTAATAAAGCCAACCATATTAACTACTTGAGAGATTTTGTGACAAAGAGAGTATTCAAATCACACAACAAATTGAAGTGAGAACTACCTTGCAATGTCCTTGTTTGACAATCAGCAGTTAGCACACGGATTATATTAGCGGATTTGACCAACGAATTTATTTAATTATTAACATTGGGTAGAAAAAATGACCGCCAAATTATTAAATCAAATAAATGGTTCAAATTGTTCAGGTTTTAATTTTTTTAAAAATTTTTCTAATTTATCCTTAATTATATGATTATCCATTTAACTTTTCCGTTAAATACCGTTAATTCACCGTTAGTCTAATTATAATATTAACGTCTAATATAGAATTATAATTACACCATTAATCTAATTCTAATATTAAAGTCTTAATAGAACTTAACCACAAATCCTAATGTCAAAATCTCCTCAAACAATATTAGTATATATTTAATATTTTATGCCCTAATTTTTATTTGTTCTCCCTTATGTCCCGTATTTGGTTTCAACCATACCTATACAATTATTTTATTGACAATTATAATCAATCTTGACTATATTTTCTTGCATTTGTAAACTTAGAATTACCTATTTAACCCGCACGGGCTTAGCTCAATGGTTTAGTGGGCAGTATTTGGGAGAAGAGACCAAGGTTTGAACCTCGGCGGCGGCAGTGCGGGAATTATGTCCAAAGTGGGCAGATTCCTTGTTAGCACCGGCATTTGGTCCTGTCTGCTGAACCATTGAGTCACCGTGATTTACAACTTCCTACAATGCTTTGTCGGGTCAGAGTGTAGGGGGCCCTTGGGGTAGGGGACTCAACCTTTGGGAGAAGAATTACCTATTTAAATACGCAAATTCAACCTTCAATTATCTATGCATGAACAATTTCAATATAATCTTGCCTTAATATACTTTAAAGTACTTATTTAAAAAAAAAAAAAAAAAAAAAAAAAAAACATTGGGCATTATCCCAATCACGCAATGCGCGTAAAAAACTAGTTATTATACTAATAAGAGTCCAAGAGAGTTAGGCCTATAATGGGTTGAAAATATGACGGTCAAATTTTTTAATGAAATGAATGGCTCAGATTGATCAGATTTTAATTTTTCCTTAAGATTTCCTAATTTATCCTTAATGAATATGATTATCTGTTAACTTTTCCGTTAAATATTATCTTTTCCGTTAACTTACTCATTGATTTCAATAAGAAAGGTCTTAGATTCGAACCACATCCCAATCAAAGTTGGCATAATTAGTACTCTATTTTACTCTTATTGAATTAATAAATAATAATTTAGTAGCTACAACAAAAAAAAAAAAAATACATATGCATTTCTTTAATTTAGAATTATGTGTCTACAATGTCTTTATTGAAAAAAAATTATTCATTATCAATAAATTAAATAAGAGAAATAATTTTATTAGTTATATTGTATTTATCTTTCTCCAATATATAAAAATTCTTTACATTCAAATTCATTAATAGATTATATTCGCTACATTGTCCCTACAATGTCTTTATTAAAAAAAAATTATTCATTATCAATAAATTAATTAAGAGAAATAATTTTATTAGTTATATTGTCTTTATATTTCTCCAATGTAAAAATTCTTTACATTCAAATTTATCAATTGATTATATTCACTATATTGTCTATTATCTTTTTTTGTGCACTATTTTTTAATATAATATCAAAGTTATAATACAAAATAATGCTATATATTTATTTACCAAGTATTTTATTAATACCATGAAAAATTCAAAAAAAAATTATAATTAATAAAGCCAATCATATTAACTACTTGAGGGATTTGTTAACAAAGAGAATATTCAAATCACATAACAAATTGAAGTGAGAACTACCTCACAATGCCCTTGTTTGACAATCAGCAATTAGTGATTAGCGTTAGCGAATTTGACCAGCGAATTATATCAATGGTTGGTAAAAAGATATTTAAAAAAATTAGCTATTTAGATTAACATGTAAAATGACGTAAGGGGATTTATTGACAAAAAAAGTATTCAAATCACACAACAAATTGAAGTGAGAAACTATCTCGCAATGGCAATCAACAGTTAGCTCTTCAATATTAGTATATATTTAACATTTTATGCCCTAATTTTTATTTGCTCTCCCTTATGTCCCGTATTTGCTTTCAACCATACCTATGCAATTATTTTATTGACAATTATAATAAATCTTGACTATAGTATCTTGCATTTGTAAACTTAGAATTGCATATTTAAATACGCAAATTTAACAATCAATTATCTATGCATGAACAATTCCAATATAATCTTGCCTTGATATACTTTAAAGTACTTTTTTTTTATTTAAAAAAAAAAAAAAAAAACATTGGGCATTATCCCAATCGCGCATAGCGCGTAAAAAACTAGTATTTATAATAAGGCTCCTAAAATTTGAAAATCCATCCTAAATTATAAAATATATAATAAATAACTCAACAATATGCCAAGCACCTTGTGCTTAGATGGCATGTAGTGACATTTCTTATGTGGGAGGTTATGAGTTTGAGACTCAGTGGAGGCGTTGCTGACTCTTGTGCTTTATTAGGATTTATAATTGTCACTATTTTTTTTACGTGCATTGCGCGAATGGGATAATGCAATATTATATAGGAGATGTTCATGCATAGGTAATTAAATGTTGAATTTGTTTATTTAAATCGTTATTCAAAGTATATAAATGGAAGATAATATATGAGAGAATGATTATAATTGTCACTAAAATAAATGTTGCAACTTTGTAATAATGCTAGTCTAAATATTTAGTCTAAAAGCGATAGTCTAAATAAATACTACTTTTGTTTTAAATTTCTCTAAGTGTTCTTAATTCTTTTTTGGATAGCATTGTCATTGTCTTCGTCTTCAGTCTTTTTTTTTTTTATTGGTAGTGTCATGTGCAATTGACTTGCTTACTGGTGGTAGCATAGAGGGCATCTTCATGTAATGAGATTATAGTGTATGAAGTTTTAGATTTGTCTTGTTGTGTATATGACTGATGAGATCTTAGTTGTACTATGAACACTTTATCTTACAAGCGCTTATTGATGGTAGTGGTAATTTTTTTCCTACATGCTTCATGTGTTGTGAGATGTGTGTCATAGATTTTCATGTGACAATATTGAACAAAATATTAATATTTATTATATTTTTATAAAATACTTGGTAAATAAATATATAACATATTTTGTATTATAACTTTGATATTTACTTGCTAGATCATGTAAAAATAAAATAATGGACAATGTAGTTAATATAATTAATTAATGAATTTGAAGGTAATGAATCTTTTAATTGTAGAAAATAAAGATAATATAATAATGAAATTATATCTCTTTTTAATTTTTTTTATAATGCATATTTTTTTTTAATAAAGGCATTATAGACATCTAATTATAAATTAATTAAATGCATATGTATTATTTTTTGTTGTAATTACCAATTTATTTTAATTTAATAAGAGTAATAAAGTGGCTTACATACTTTTCATCCACAACATTGAAGTCATTGATTTTTTAATTTCCATTTGTTGTTGAGACAAATTATTTTGGGAGTTTGTCATTGACAATTGCTAGAATTGCTGACAATAGAGAATGATAATAAATAATTCGAAATATATGATTACAATAGATATTAGGGTGAATCAACGATTTGGTCCCTCACTTATTCGCGACTTGTCAATGTTGCCCCTGAATCACGTATTCATCGATTTAGTCCCCGAAAATAATTGTTTTTCGTCAAATTAGTCCCTATGGCCGTATTCCGTCAAGTCTCAGGCGAGAACTCCGATTTGCCCTGGGCATTTTGGTCTTTTCACACCTTCTTCTTCATTAATTGGCATTTGGGTGGGTAGTTGGGGCCGCTATTTCTGCTCTGCTCTCTGCGAAAAGATGAAGTTCGGGAAGGAACTGGCTTCCCAGATGGTTCAAGAATGGGGGGAAGCATACATGGATTACAACTTTCTAAAGGGAGTTCTGAAAGATATCTCCAGATTCCGGCGGCGGAACGCGGCAGCAGCCCAATCATCTGTTCCGGCGGCGGTGGCGACGCGCAAGAATTCATTGAAGAGAAGGCTGTCCATGTACCGGGCTTTCAGCGGGTTGATGAATCGATTGGGCAGCCCTAAAGGCACTCCCAGGAGCAATCATGAAGATGAAGAAGTTATACTGGTGAATGCTGTGGAGCAGGCTAGGAAGGGGTTATTGGAGCGCCGCAGTACCAAACAATGTTCCCTATGTCGTCAGAAGCCGGAGGAGAATACGAGCTGGTGTTCTTCAGAAGGCTTGACGATGAATTCAATAAAGTTGTTAGGTTTTAAAGAGAAAAGGTGGAGGAAGTGAGGAAGGAGGCGGATGAGCTAAGCAAGCAAATGGATGCACTTATAGCTCTCCGGATCGTCGTAGAAAATCCTCCGGTGCCGGTGGATATCAATGGCTCCCAGTCCCAGACAAGAACAGATTCTGCAGTCACTGAAACTAAGTCACATATGGATGCAATACAAGAAATTGAGATGAGTGGTGAAGAGGTTGCAGAAGATGGTGAAGCATCTGCAGGAACTGCGACAATGGCTGATCAGAACAACACAAAGATTGAAGAAGAGAAGACTAACAACTTCACAGATTTCAGGCCTGCTCCATTACACGTGTTGTACGACGTAAGAGTCAACATCCAGCCTGAAACTCCCATCTCCACTTTGAAGAACATTTTGAAGGCATCAAACTCTGAACTGACGTCGGCGACGATGGAATGTCGTCGAAGAAAGATGAATCACTACTGCGGGTGAGCTAATTTCGACGAGCAGAGAAGAGATGGAGCTCCCTCCGGCGAGCTTGAGCTTCTCCGGCGAAGCTTGGTCAGAGTTAATGAAGAAGAAGGTGTGAAAATACCAAAATGCCCAGGGCAAATCGGAGTTCTCGCCTGAGACTTGACGGAATACGGCCATAGGGACTGATTTGACGAAAAACAATTATTTTCGGGGACTAAATCGATGAATACGTGATTCAGGGGCAACATTGACAAGTCGCGAATAAGTGAGGGACCAAATCGTTGATTCACCCTAGATATTATTATAATGATATAGTCAAAATTGACTTACAAATTTTTTTAGAAGTTTTCATACATTGATAAAATTCAGAGAATGATGTGTAAACTTGTTCAATTTGAGCCAATGAGATGTAACATTGTAAATTCTTTGGAAAATGATCCTATCATTTTAGAGTACAGGTGTAATTTTATTTCTTATCAACAACTTTGTAATTAGGTCGCGCATGTCTAACAATGATGTAAGAACAATTTTGTCCGATAAAAAAATAATAGTATAATATTTGTAAAGTAATGTACAATTGTACCGTTATAAAAATACATACAAAAAATATTAATATCATAATGACCTAAATCATTATAATAATGCAAAAGCATAATTGAAATATTGAGTTTTGTTCTAAATAATCAAAAGAAGATTAATTAAACGAAAAAAAAAAAAACAAACTTAACCTAAATTTTTTTTTTAAATGCAAGAAAATAATTTTCAAAGTTCATGATTTATAATCTTTGATGCTCAACTTTGAATGCTTTGTATTTAGTCGGGCTAATTATTTGACAAAAATTTATGTTAAATTTTATATTGTATTTATTTTTTAATACTCAGTATATTTTAACATATTTGTAGTCTATATTTAACAATTATGCCAACTCTTATTGGGATAGGGTTCGAACTTAAGACATTTCTTATAGAAACTAATGAGTAAGTTAAATAATAAATAGTTAACAGAATATTCCGTTAGTAAACTTTGTGCTAACGGAATCCAAGGATATTTAAGGCTATGTTTGGAAACTCGGAAAATGATTTATGGAAGTCATTTTCCGAATTTTTGGTGTTTGGCTAGGCAGAAAACTGAGTGGTCAAAAGAAAATGAAGACAAGTCAATGGAAAATGAGGCAAAATTTCCAAAAAATTACTTCCCCTTTTTTTTGGAGGAAGTCATTTTCCATCTTCTAATTTCTAAACAAGCTGTTCACTGCTTCAGACTTCCTCCACCTCCTCCTTCAACATTCAAAAGAGAAAAGTCCGCCAACACCAACACCTCCTTCTCCAATGAAATTTTCCACCTTCTAATTTCACTGGTTTCCTCAGCCGAAAACCAGCTTTGGTTTCCAACTGGGGAAACATCTTCCTCTGGTTTCCGCATCGGAAACCAGTGCTGGTTTCTGGAAACCAGTAGGGAAACCATTACTGGTTTCCAATGCTTTTTTTTTATGGGAGTTTGTTTATTTCTTTAGGAGGAAATGGATTGGGAATAGTTTGAGTACTAGAAAGATAGATTGAGAGCAAAAGCATTATGATTAAATACAATCAAAATTTATGTTGTATGGAATTTGAAATAAAAATTGTTATATCCTGCATTTTCTGGAAAATGAACCAAATACAAAAAGACAGTTTTCCACTGTGCAGCTAAACACAGAAAAATAAAATGTTTTCTGTAAAATGAGTCATTTTCCAAAAAACATTTTCCAGAAGTCATTTTCTTGCTTTCTAAACGGACCCTAAGAGAATGAAATAATATAATAGAGGCTAAATAAGGAAAATCATTAAAAAAAATACTAAAATTTAAATAATATGAACCATTCATTTAAGAAACAATTTCACCAACATTTTTTGTTTCAGTTAAGGGCCTAACATTATTGGCTCTTATTAAATTTGTAGATAAGCTAGAAATTAAATATAACGAAATAAATTTTAAAATAAAATTAAAATTATTTTTAAATTTATGAAATTAAAAAATATATATGTATGGAAGTTCATAGATGAACTAATGTTAATTTCAATATTTCTTTACTATCTCTCCTATTAACAAAAAGCTCAGACATTAAAATATATAGGAATTATGGTCAAATAAGTCATCAAACTACACAAAAAAAATACAATTAATAAATCATTGAACTAAAAAAGAAAATAATTGGGTCACTGAACAATGCAAAATGTTACAATTGGGCTAGAAATGACATGTTTACTTTTTAACTTGCTGATGTGGAGGTTATCATGTTAAAATAATAATTTTTTATTTTATTATAATAATTTAAAAACAAAAAAAAAAACAAAAAAAAAAAAAAAAACAGATTTGCCGCCGGAGAAGAAGAACCTTCTTCATCTCCGACCGGGGACAAAGAGCTCTTTGTCCCTGGTCGGAGACGAAGAAGGTTCTTCGTCTCCAGGCTGCCGGAGACGAAGACTGGTTCTTCGTCTCCGGCAGCGGAGACGAAACGGAAAACCTGTTTTTCTCTTCTTTTTTTTTTTTGAATTTAGTTTTGTTATTTTAAATTATTAAAATAAAATTAAAAAGTATTATTTTAATATGGTAATCTCCCCATCATGTAAACAAGTCATTTTTGACTTAATTGCAACATTTTGTGTTGTTCAGGGACCCAATTGCACTTTTTTTAGTTCAATGGTCTGATTGCATTTTTGTGTGTAATTCACTGACCTATTTGATCCTTATTCCAAGTATATATATATATATATATATATATATATATATATATATATATATATATATATATATATATATATATAACCTATACATGCTTATTTTGTGTAAAAATACCGTCGCAATATGTATAGCATTAGTTATGCACTTTTATAGCAAACTTGATGATATATCTAAAAGATGGTGGCAAATTCTTGATGTTATTATTTATTAATCAAATACAACAACATCAAACCTTCATTGGAAAATTGATAACAAAACATTTAAAAATATCTTAATAGAATATTAATGTTCATAAAGATCTTTAATACATGACAAATGTATAACTTATCATTATTTGTAAAATGATATTTGTGTTGTAGCCGTTGATTCTACTTTGCTAGTCTGCTAGCCAAAGTAATAAGTAAATAAACCTCTTACATTTCTAGTCAACACACACACACAGAGGTTCAAATGCGGTTGGTGCATCTAGGTGCGGTTCTGCGATTAAATCTGAGCCATTAATCTTGCTTAAATCAACATCCAGGGTAAACAATTTTTTTTTAAAAAAAATATGGTGGCAATTTGGTAATTTTTGCATCTAGGTCAAATTTAAGGTGCGTGGTTTTCCTTCTTAAGGTGCGTGTTTTTTGTGCTTAAGGTGCGTGGATTTTGTACTTAAGGTGCGTGGATTTTGTGTTTAAGGTGCGCGGGTTTTGTGCTTAATGTGAGTATTTGTTGAAACTTAAGATATGTGGTTTTTGTGCTTAAGGTGCGTGGATTTTGTGCTTAATGTGAGTAGTTGTTGAAACTTAAGGTGTGTGATTTTCCTTCTTAAGATGCGTTGTTTTCCTTCTTAAGGTGCGTGATTTGTATCCTTAAAGTGCGTCAGTTGTGTGAAACTTAAGGTGAGTCATTTTAAAACCTTAGGTGCGTAATTTGTGTTCTTAAGGTGTTTTATTGTGTGTTTAAGGTGCGTGGGTTGTGTACTTAAGGAGTTAAGGTCAGTGGTTTGTGTACTTAAGGTGCGTCATTTTAATGCTTAAGGTGCGTCAATCGCACAACCGCACGGAAAGCCTATACTCGCACTTGAACCCTTCCCTATATATATATATATATATATATATATATATATATATATATATATATATATTGCCAAGAAAATGGAAGTCATAATGAACAGATTGGCTATTACTTACAGTAAAACATAAAGAACACTAATGGGAGAAGGATTAATTAGCACAATTTCAAACTAATTCACCCAAATTGGATATTTATAGTCTCTGAATTAATGTTCAGAAAGTATTGCATTATTAAGTTTTGTAAAATGAAATTATTATAGCTAATGGTAAAGTGCCATCAAATTTAACAATACTTTAAATTTGGTAAAGTAAAACAATATTTCTCACATAAATCGATACAACTATAAATCATTACCATTATTTTGACAATTTATATCGTGGACCAAGGTCCACATAGCATTATGGTCTCTGGATTAAAACGGGAACTCTGTTACAGTGTAGTATCTGTTCATACATACTTTCTCAACCTACTTACACTGGGATTCAAACCTGAGACATCTCCGGAGAGAAGCCACAGCTATGCTGCTTGACCACAAAGCCTTTAGCACGTCGTTTGATATTTAAGTTTTAACAGATTCAGTAACTTTTTATTTCTTATGTTTCAACTCAAATTTTAATTTATTTTAGGCACAGAATCCTTATGCGTAATGTACAGAATTGCTTAACATAATGTACACAAATGCATAACACGAGATACATACACATGTTTTCTATTTTACTTATTCTCAAATCTGATTTATGTAAATAATTAATGTCATATAGGCACATAATTGCATAATATAAGACATAAATTCGTAAAATAAGACATACAATGTGTTTTGTATTATACGACTACTAATCAATTTCATGTACAGAATCCTTATGGTTAATGTACAGAATTGCGTAACATGATGTACATAAACGCATAACATGATGTACAGAAACGCATAACATGATGTACAGAAACGCATAACACGATATGCATACACATGTTTTCTATTTTAATTATTCTCATATATGATTTATGTAAATAATTTATGTCATATAAGCACATAATTTCATAATACAAAACATAAATTCGTAAAATAAAACACACAATATGTTTTGTATTATACAACTACTAATCAATTTCAGGTACAGAATCTTTACACCTAAGGTGCAAAATTTTGTAACATAATGTACAGAAACGCATAACAAT